TTCAAGTCGTCCCTATGTAGGTGTACTTTGCGGCCGAAGTCCGAAGTATATTCTACGGTTGATGATATAAACCCTGATTACCCAAAATAAGGAATATACCATAATTCCCATAGTTTAGGGTCCTTAAGGCAATGCAGGATTTATATCATCAACAGTAGTTCGGCACGTGGACCCTTGCAGGGTATTTTCGATCACCAGAATCGTATGCACCCTTGTAAAAAGAAAAAAGAAAAGCGCGTTGAAAGGGGCCCAAGTTTACTTGACTACCAATGTGCTCGTTTTAAGATCTAGAAGTTTGTGTGTGTCGAGATAATTGTCTCGCACTGTCTACATGAGATGGCCCAGTCTGCGTGCAGAACGCGATTTTGGGACCATCTCCGTAGCAACTCTGAAAGGAACCCTTAAAAGGAACACCATTCTACTCATTAAGACCGCCATATTCCTTGGCCCAAAGAGCCCATGTAATTTTTTGATTGAACCAGCCTTGCCAAACACTAACCATCAAATCCGAGCCCGAAGAATCATAATCGGGTTGTTAAGGCCTTCCCTGTAAAGGGTGGGAGGTGGGAGTGTGGGAGGTGGGTGGGCGGCAGGAGGAAGAGTGGGAGTGTGGGACGTGGGAGTGTGGGGGTGTCACTGTAGTGTGGGGGAGGCGGGAAGCGGCAGATGGGTGGGACGTGGAGGGTGGTGAGGTGGGGATGGGAGGTGGGAGTGTGGGAGCTGGGCGGTGAGAGTTTAGTTAAACAGTATTTCGGGTTTTGGGGGTTCTTGATGATCAGAATAGGGTTGGAGGGTTATGTTGTCTTATCCTTGTTTAATCATCCCTCAAGAGTAGTATTACTAATGAGTCAGGCTTCTCTGTGAGACTCGATTCCCAAGTCGCTCCCAGACCTCTAAACCCTATAAACCCTAAAAGGCCCGAAGTTGCTTCACTTGAGGTATGTGTCACAGCGCTGGTTCGAGCGAGCTTTGCTACTTTTCTTGGTGCCTCTCCAGACAGCACCGATTGTTGGTTTAGGGTTTAGGTTTTGACAAGGTCTGAGGCCAGAAGCCGGAACTGAGGAGTTTCTGAGGTAGTCAGTGTTTTGGACGCTGTCAGGCTTTCCGGGCCTGCTGTTCATGGTCTGTGTTTTCCTTCAGTTTTCGCAGGACAACTGGTGGCCCGTGCAAAGCAAGCGCTGTTAGGAAATGCGTGCGTGCTGTACAAAGGGCCGCCAGTTTTCTTCGAGAAAACCCAGGGCGCCCTGGCCCTGACTCCTAAAGTTGTGGATGAGCTAGGCGACGATTCAAGGACTCCCAAACACTGAGCCCTAAAGCCGAAATCCTAAACCCTGAACCCTTGGACTATTAAACCTGTAAGCCCTAACCCTGAGTTCCAAAACCGCCGCCCCAAGACCAGTATTGGTAATTATTAAGGCCCCAAATAGTATACACCCTGACCAGAAATTCGAGATCCACTGTTGCGCTTGTCCCGAAAAGGTGCTCTCCTCGCTGAGCGTGCTGGGCATATTCGAAGGCTTCTGGTGAGTTTAGGGTTTAGTGTTACTAGGTGGGTGACTGGTAGTCTTGTATCTACTGTTACTCACTCTCAAAGAGGGTTCAGGCATTTGCTAGGGTTTAGGGTAAGAGGATCATCTTTTTGAGTCTTTCCGAACGAAGTCCGAGGTCCAACCCAGGTCAGGATGTCGGTCTAGGGGGGGGTGGTGTTGGCATTAGCATAGAGATCGTTTGTTCGGGTCAGCGGCGTGCTGGTGAAGCCACCATCAAGAGACGTCAGTCTACCTTTGCAGGTGGATTTCACGATACTTTCGGGCCACGTCGTATCAGTTCGTTTGTGTGTTCCATCAAGGTGAGTTGCTTGCTGGGCAAAAGCTTCGACGTAGTGTCGCTAGCACCTATTGAATCTGATCTTGCGCGCAACCTCCTAGACCCTAAACCCTAAACCCTAAACCCTAAGCCCACCATTTGATTTGCCTCTCAAGTTCAGAGCCACGGCAGAAGAACTGAGGCATGGTATAGGGGTTTGTAAACCCTGGCAGCCCCGAGTTTCAACCCCGAAACCAAGAAGCAAAGCCTGAAAGGGAAGAGCCCGTCTGATCTACGTAGGCATCTTGATACTTCAGACTCTTGCTTCTAGTTTAGGGTTTAGGGTTTATAGGGTGCAAGAGGAATTTATTCGCGAAGATGTTCCAGAAGCTTTAATAGACGAACAGGGTAGACATCATCCATAGACATCAATCTTGAAATCAACAGCACTTGCTGATGTAAATCCCTCTGCTTCGAAGATTGATTGGAAAGCCCTAGAGGGTCAGAGCTTCACGGTTACTATAGGGGTCCGAACAATGAGCAAGAGTATCACCCTTCTAGCTTCTGACATAGTTCTAGCTTATAGGGCCCCAAAGCCTTTGTCTAACTGTTAAGGCCCGCTATGCTAAAGCCTTATAATATCCCGCCTCATAGAAACCGGTGTAGTAACCCTCAAAGGGAGCTTAGCAGGAACCCTATTCTACGGTAGTAATTCAGGCTCCTAGATTGCACTGGGGTCTCCGGGCTGCACTTTCTAGGCCGCCCTGCCAGCATCGCAGCTTTGGCGGCCTCAGCAATGGTGTCCGGAGCACGTCACTGGGTGAGTCATTGGGTTGAGGGTTTAGGGTTATGACGTTATAACAGTTCGAAATATTCACCCATTAAAGTCTCCCTATGATTATGCTACAGTATACACCGAAACTTCATTCTGTTCACTCCGGGCCCTGTAGTATGCAAGGGCCTTCGACCTATGAGAGTTCTACAAATTGGGGCTGGGGGTTTTGCAGTATTGCGTGTTGGCTCGGCTTTCAGGCTTATCAAGCTGTTGGTGTAACCTAAACCCTGAACCTGTGTTGTGTTTTCTGAGACGCAGTGCAGCTCCCCTTGGCGTGAGCCCTCGCCTGGGAAAGAGCGCTCATTGCACTTTCAGAAGAACCAGGGGTTTTGGATCTGGGGTTCAGGATTGGACGTCGAATTCAGAGCTGTTGGTGCACTCTCCGTCCCTGTCTGCCTCTGTCAATAGCAGTATAGCAGTAACATCAGCAGCACCAGCAGTTGTAGGAGGTGCAGGAGTAATTAGCTCGAGGAGTAGCGGTAGGAGTGGGAGTGGGACTAAGAAAGGCTGGGATACAATTGGAGGGCAGGGCGGGGGAGAAGAACTCGCAGCGCACAACCGTGTATATAAATGATATATATATATGTATATATATATATGTATATATATATATGTATGTATGTATATATATACATAGGTATGTATATATATATATATAGATATAGATATGTAACTATATGTACCTATATGTATATATATATATATGTAAATTATTGTACAAATATAAGGACATATATAGATATATATATATAGATATACATGCATACATACATACATACATACATACATACATACATACATATATGCATGTGCATACGTACTTTTATTTACTGGTCTATTTTTGCATATTTGTTACCTATGTGTTTGTGTGTATATACACTTACATATGCAGCAGTATATAGTTCCCTTCAAGCGGTTTTTTATAGTGAGGATTCTTTCAGGGTTCCCCTTTGAGCGGTCCTTGTAGTGAAAAGTCTACTCGGGAGTTTACTTACAAGAAATCGCTGAAGAGAGAAGCCACACCACGAAGAGCCGTGAACCCACCTATGCAGGTTGCTGTCTTGAGGCGCCATATGCCATATACAGCCACTGGACACCCTACGCCTCAAAGTCTGCGTCCCTAAGCCCCTTCGCTCAGAACAATCCAGGCTTGCTCTGTGCTTGGCATCATGGAAGGAAAGCTCGCACCTGATGTGAGACCCGGGTGCAGTTGAAGTGTCTTTATGGGCTGGGCAGGGTTTGGGGAGCCTACAAATCATGACCTACACAAGCAATACTACTTTGAGTCAGAAGTGCATAAATTAGTACCTTCGTTGCTGTGCAGGTAACCATTAGCCTTTCTTGGTTTCGGGCCACACTTGGGTACCTACTCCGGGCTAGTTTGAGTGCTAGGATTAGTGTGATGTAGGGTATTGGATGCAGGGTGTTGGACACAGCATCTAGGGCCGTAGCTTTTTGAGTTTTTGCGCTTGGAGCCCACGTTTCCAGAGGTAATGTAGGGTTTAGGGTTTGGGGTTTTAGAGCTTCGGCAAGTGGTTGCTTTGCTGTTTTCTCTGGATCATTGGGCCTGCTTGGGGGCCCATTCAGTTGTAATTCGACTCGTTCTCATTTATTAAGAAACCCGCAGGAAAACACTGTTTCAAGTAGCCATAGTATTTTAAGGTACCTCACTGCCCGGTCTGAAGCCATGTGGGTTTTGGGCTTGGGGTTGCGCTTAGGGGATGAGGTTTGGGGTGTAGGGTTTGTTGAAGGTTTAGGGCAGTTTGGGGTTCGAGGTCCAGCGCTTAGAGTTGAGCGTTTAGGGAGTTTAGGGTCTATAGGGCTTTGGGTGATGAGAAGCGGCATTATGACTACAAACAGAAATAAGACATCTTTTGACGTACACTTTATATATATATATACACATATATATATATATGACTATGTGTATTATATTTATATACACATACATATTTTATTATTTGTATTTATATATTTTGACGGAGAAGGAGAGCATGGGTGCGACAGAGAGAGAAAAGCAAAGGGAGAGGGAGACCGAACACAGTCGGCCGGTACATCTTAGCGCACACGACCAAGGCCAAAGTGTGGGGTGCGCCGATGCTGTCGAGATCTCGAACTGCAGGCGGCTTTTCCGCGCCGCAGCGGAAGCAGGACGGTCAAAGGCTTTCGACTCTTCGACAAGGGCGTTGCATGGGCTGCGACAGTCCTAAACTCACCGAGCGCTTGCTCATTTCTCCTTCCGCGAGTGGGTCTGTCGAGTCTCCGGGCTGCTAACGCAAGAGTTTAGGGGTTCAGGGTATTAAGAGCTGCCCCCTCACATCTCCGGAGTCCCGAAAACGATTACAGTTTGACTGTGCTCGTCCGTCTCGTGGCAGGTAAAGAAAGTCTGTGTGCTCCCTGACAAGATCCCACGCGGCCACTCGCCTTCAATGTAGCTCGGCCGAAACTGGAGGGGAACCTTTCGCACTTGGCTCTGCGTAGGCCACTCGATCAGCTGCATGCTCTCATAGAAAGCGTCCTCACCAGCACGGGTTGGCATCAGCAAGAGGCGGTCGCCCAAAGCCTGGGTTGCTGTTAAGGAACTTAAACTAAGTTGGTATCATAACACAGAGACTCCATTATTTGCTATGTTTCCTTATGTTTCCGCTTATGGTAACTTAAATTAAACTAGTATCGTAAGGAACTCCTATCATTTACATATATCCCCATTATGGTAACTTAAATTTCCTGAACAGCTGCAACCCAGAAGCCTGGCAGGCGTGGTTAATATGGCCTGCGGCTTTCCAGGAGGCCAACAGCTTCGGCTCCCCTCCTTCTTGCAGTTCCTGGGTTCTTGTTACGCAATTTTACCAGACTAAATATTATTATGATAAATTGAAAAATAAAGTCCTGAACAAGAAGCCTATTATTGTGACAGCTTAAAGCTATAAATTCATTCACAAGAGCCCGGGCTCACAAACTTCGATATTGAAGCCCCGCTGAAGATCTTGACCGGGATCTTGTTGAGCGCAAACTCGGGCGAGCCTGAGATTTTGGTTACGGAATTTACCAGGACCCTCCTGGTACCTTCAAGTAGGGGTATATGGTCCCGAATACTGGCTGTTCGGGTTCTATCACAGGGCAGATGAGGGTCTAGGTAGTTTAAGTTACTTGGGTACGTAACTTAAATGAAGTTCCTCAGCAGTATTGGTAATTATTATTACTAATCAGAACCCAGGAGCAGCTGGCCGCAGCGATCACGACCAAAGATCCCGTCATTTCGTGCTGGTAGGCCCCGTCCGAAACCTTTGCCCCTGCGGCCGTCCGACTTGTCGCCCTCCTGCCAGTCGAAGTTGCGCAGAACCACATTATAGCCCTCCATGCGAGGATCATGCCCATGGAACACGGCTGGGAATCTGAACTTGAAGGGAACAGGAGCACCTTCTGCCTGGAAACGGGCCGCGCGGAGATCGTCCTCCTCCAGTCCACAGAGGCGGAATTTCCTGGGTTGCTGTTAAAAAATTAAACCAAGTTACTATAACAAGGACAGTCGATTATTCACCATATACTCCCCACTATGGTAAGTTATAAGTAAGTTCCTTAACAGCCACCCAGCTTCTGAAGCATCCCATCCTTCAGGCCCTCCATGGCTTCACCCGGCAACCCCGGAGCCATCAGCACGGTGGCGCAGCCGTTCTCCAGCTTAAAGGCGTGGATGCCGTGACCCTCCGGCAGAGGTAAGGGGACCCTTCTCGCGCTGATGTAGCCGGAGCTGGTCGGCACAGAGCCCTCCAATGCGAAGGGCTCGTTGGTGCCGATCAACCAGACGTCCGAGGCCTCGAAACGCTTGATCTCGTAGGGGCCGATGAAATCCGAGTATTCAGAGTCTGCAAGATCTTCGTCATCGCTGTCAGGATAGTGCCGCCAGGCCGGGCGCGCTGGGAATGCCAGGAGGCGATCTCGACCCACTTGCCGCACCTTGGCCCCCTCAAACTAAACCCGAAGGGTTCATGTACCCAATTAGGATGTACTTTGGCCGTAAAGTAGTCCCTAAAAAATCGTACAGGGTCCATGTACCCAACTAGCATATTATCCTACTATGTAGGGACTACTTTAAGGCCCAAGTGTATGCTACTTGGGCACATGGTCCTAAACCCTATACACCCCAAACCCTACACCCTAAACCCTGCACCCCTAAACCCTAAATCCTAAACCCTACACCCCACACACCCGAAACCCTACACCCTCAACCCGGCACCTCGATGCCCTCGCCGAGTGGGCCGGTCAGCGGAACTTGGATCCTCTCTTCTGAAATACCCGGGCCCCAAAAAAAGCCCAAACTCTCATAGACTAGATTAGGGTTTAGGGTTCAGGGTTTAGGGCAAAGTTTCTTTCATCGACAAAATATATACAGTAAGTTTAGCTTACTTCCCCAATAAGCCAAGAGAGCAGGAGGTTAAACTTTCAGATTACTACTAAGTTATAAGAACCCAAAAAGTTTTCAGGTTGGGTACTGGGGAACTAAGTTCAAGCGCTCCCCTTGGCTGTGCAAGGATCGAGTTCCAAGCGATGTTGCTCTCGCGCCAGAGCTCAAGGGCCGGAACCTAAAAATCTTGGATCTGTTGGGTTTTATAAGGGTGCTCTAAGTTATAAGGGTTTAGGGTTTCGGGTATTGGGGGTCCATGTACCCCAAATATCTTCCACTTTGGCCTTGAAGTAGCCCTTGGACCCTGAGGGTTGGTTTTGAGAAGGTGATATTGGGTTTAGGATTGAGAGATTTAAAGGTTTTCGGTTGTTCTTTCAGGGTTTAGGGCTGAGGGTTTTAAAGGTTCCATGCTTTTCGGGCTTCAGGGTATAGGGTCTTAGGATCTATGGTTTGTATGCTGGCCTTATCCCTGAAAACTCTGTCAAGCTACATGCACCTATATTATAGTACCTTTCATATAGTGGGAATATCGAGTCTGGAGTCAGTTATAACACATATCGTACACAGGATCTATCATGATTACTAAGTATTACGACCACTATATTACCCAACAAGGGTCTTGTAAGAACTTGTGATGAACCACCTCTAAACCCTCAACCCCCCTAGACCCCTAAGCCCTAAACCCCTAAACCCCTCACCCCTAAACGCTTGTAAGCCCTAAGCCCTAAACCCCTCCTTCACCACGTCCACCGTGCCGCCACCTCCAAGGCCCGAATCCAACAGGGTCGCACTGTCGCGCAGCACCTGGGCTTAGGGTTTAGGGTCTTCTGTTTGGGATGGTTTAGGGCTTGTAAGGTTTAGGGTCTTGGGTTTAGGGTGGTTTAGGGCTTGTAAGGTTTAGAGTTTAGGGTCTTGGGTTTAGGATTTAACTCGAAACCCTAAAACCCTTCATGCCATCGACTCCGTAGACCCTAAAGCCCTACAGCCCCAAAAAATTCATGGAAACCCTAAACCCTACTCCCCGGCGAAACCTCGGAGCCACACATCAGGCGTAAGCCGCAGCGCAGCTCAGCCGGGCCTCCGTTCCCAGCAGCCACGGCAGCGCGGCGGAGCCGTGCCACGAGCTCAAGGGGCTCCGCCGTTACTTTGGCAATCCTGGGCTCCGTTTAGGTATATTGTTCAGGCTGCGGCTCTGGGATTTGGAAGTTATAGGGTTTAGGGTTTAGGGAGAATATGTGAAGGATGGTTGTAGCTTCCGCAATTGTGGGTTGCCTTGTCCTCCGATCCTTCAGGCATAAAGTAAGCTTCTGCATAATGGGTACAAGCCGTGAATACTAGAGCCTCCTAATTTCAAGTAGCTCGAGCTTAACCTGAACCCCAAATAACCTATCTTGCGCAGGATTTAGATGGCGAAAGCATCATAAGGAACCCTGAAAACGTAGCGGGTTCAGGATACACTGCAATATCTTCCCAAACCCCAGCTTCCTATCCTAAACCCTAGTAAACCCTGAAGCCTAAACCCCACCCTAAACCCTAAACCCAGAGATCCGAGAGTCTCAGCACCAGAAGCAGCAACTCTCAAGACGATATCGGGCATCTTGCAGCCAGGAAATGTTGTGCTTCGCGCCCGAAGCTGAAATCTTGAGCCGACTGTCTCTTTGCTATTCAAAGTGTCTAGAAACAAGGGTTTAGGGTTCGGTTTATAGGCTTAGGGCTTGGGTTCTAGGTTTCAGGTGCAACCTGTAAGTACAAAGCCTCGACCGTGGCGAAAGAGATGGAGCAGCTGCAGTCGCTAAACAGAAGCATGATCCTTGGGGTTTAGGGTTTAGGCTTTTAGGGTTTAGGGTTCAGGGTTTAGGGTAGCTTTCATCAGGTGCAAAGAGCCATAGGCACCCGGAGGCCGCATGTGCCTGTTTGCCCTCATCGTGCAACCGATGACCGGCCTCGGATCTTAGCAAAGGCGAGGCATTTCGCAGCAGACTCTTTAAATGCTCCAGCATCTTATACTATATCGTACCTTTTGTACTATGTCATACAGCATTGCTTCATATATTATACAATCTTATAACATCTTATATTATCTTATATTATCTTATATTATCTTATATTATCTTATACTCTCTTACATCTACTTAGATTATCTTATATTCTATTATATTCTATTCTGTTATATTATATCATATTATGTTATGTTATATTGTATTGGTAAATAACACTTTGCATCTTCGACCGTACTAAGAGCTCTACCGCAGCTGGCGAAATTCTGCATGACTCAGGGAATGTCAGATCTCGGTTTGTGCTTGGGCAAGGGGGAAGTGCTACGAGTACTACGACTACGCCACCCCTGCCGCCGCCACCACCACCACCACCACCTCCGCGACCAAGGAAGATGCGATGCATGAATAGATCAAGTATACAACATCGGCGAAGTAATCTTTCCCCATATAGAAGGCCCTGGGCCCTGCAAATCAGACATGAGCATCGCCAACTCAGCCCCAAACATTATATCCAGAATCCCACACACTAAACCCCAAGCCCTCACTTAGCCAGACTCAAACCCAAACCCGAAGCTCGGCACCCAAGGGCCCTTCCGGGGCCCACACCACGACTTCTCCGCTCAGCATGGCCAGCATCAACTTTGGGGGATTCCAGATTTGGGATTCTTGTGGGTTTGCAGGCTTTCGGGGTTCAGGGGTTTGGGGTTTTGCAGCTGTAGGCTTGTGGATGTACTAAGGTTTAGAGTCATGAGAGCATAAAAGAGGAGGTTGAAGGAGTCAGGCCAGGCTTCTGGCGCCGGTGGGACGTGAGAGGAGTACAGCACTTTGTAACTGTGGCAACTACTTATGCCCTGGAGTTCTACAACTTCAAGGCTTAGGGTTTAGGGCTTAGCTGCTTAGCTATCTCAGCTTCGAGAGCACGGTTGGTGGGCTTGTGGGGCCTATGAGCCGGTTGCCAGGCGGAAGGCTGTGGCAGGCCGTGGATTTCGTGAGCGGCTGCCAATGCATCTTGACTTCTGAGCCCGTGGCTAAAGGAAGGGAACAGTGCACGCTACAGCAAGACCAAATTCAGAACTCGCCAGTTGCAATCGCTGCGACGATGACACTCATCGTGACAGGGCTGCGAGTATGAATAAGCAGAAATGATCACCATGAGCAAAACGAGCATCCGAAGGAAGGGGGGGCGGGGTAGCTGAGGGAATTGCTATTTCCGCGCCCCGAACCTCCTAAGAGTTTCCAGGAAGGGTGCGGCTGAACTGCATTACGGCAATCCCTGCACATACCCTAAGCCCCTAAACCCTAAACCCTGAAACCCTCCAAAACCCTAAGCCCTAAACCCAAAACCCTAAGCCCCTAAACCCTAAGCCCAAAGAATTGCTCCCGGTAGGGCTCAGGTCCGAACTGTCATCGCTATGAACTTTGAGCATGCTGCTCTGGGAATTGGGGAAGTTGACAGTGCGAAGGACTCACCAAAGTGGCCGAGATGGAACCAGGCTTGGAAAGTACGTGGTCGCAGTAAGTCGTAGTAGTGAAATATTTGCAGAACTAGCAGGAGTAGGAGTCCCAGAGTAGCAAAGCAGTGGAGCGAGTCGGGGTCGTAGTTGTGAGTAGTAGTAGTAGTAGTAGTAGCAGGAGCAGCAGCAGCAGCAGCAGCAGCAGCAGCAGTACTGATCGTTGTCGTCGTCGTCGCCTCGCATACTAGTACTAGTGCCAATTCTATAGTACTGGCAGCACCACTGGGGCGGCAGCCCCAGCAGCAGCAGCAGCAGCCAAAGCAGTTTATGCAGTGGCGCAGTACAGCAGCTGTTCGACCAGATTCTAAGCGGCCTAGCAGTGAGAGCAGAAGGACTCTCTTCGCAACTACTGCGGAACAGGACATAGCACGCTCGAGGAAACCAAAGCCACAAAACATAAGACAAGACCACGTATGTATACAGTACAAACAAAGCAGCCAGGCTAAGTTGTCACCTCAACTTCTGTCCTCGAACAATTGTGGCTGGGAGTGAGGGAGCCGTAATTACAGGCAATGTTCTATTGAACCCAGTCTGGACCCAGACTGACCACAGACTTTCACAACTCAACGCTCTCCTATGCAAACGACACGATCCGATATGAACATGTATGTGTATAATGGTGTTGAATTCAAAACAACTGTCCTAAACCTGCCAGCGCTAAAGCTTAAACCCAGCAGCCCTAAGCCCTAAATCCCTTTTTGTTGCGATGGTCGGTCTCCCGGAACTCACTCAAACTGTCCCTTCGGACAGTGTTGGACTCCCGGCTCACGTGGTGCAGGTCGTCGCAGTCCATCTGTTAGTATAGACAGTATTGACAATAGAGGCCTACCTGGACCCTAAATGTCCTGCCGTTTTAAGGACTTAGATAAGGAAACCATAATAAGGAACCCTAAAATAGAGGTTCTTTAGAACCCTTTAGGGTCCAGGTAAAGTACAACTATGAAAAGCAGCCCTCCGGATGAGTACGCGTGCTTATTCAGGCTCCCATTATAGTACTGGTAGCTGCTTTACGTTGTGAGGTCTTCTTCCGGTAATCTACGTAGGACTTTGGGTTTGGGGGTGCCGGGGCTTCGGGCTTCAGCAAAGAACAACCAAGCCAGCACGAGGTAGATGGAACAACGGAACTTTGGCTTCTGTAGTTTCGGGATAGTTGAGGGGTTGTTCTCACGCTTACAAAACGGGTCACAGTGTTGGCAAAATTGAACTCGTTGCTGCATGTGACGGGACGCTTATGCAGGGGTTTTAGGGTGCAGCATGATGGTGCATGACTACGGTGCATGTTCGTAGACGAACATGTTGCGGCTTGCGGCATGTCTGGGCTAGTGAGAATTTTGTTACTGCACCCCCGATCCAGACAACCTTGGAAGAATTAGAAGTCACCTTGAGACGTCATTTTCAACAACCCCAAACCCCACTTACTGACCTGCAACCACCTCTGTTGCTGGATGGAGCCTTCATCATTCCTTGTCGATGCAGCACTCCTGTCGGGGCTTACGAATAGGTGTAGGGCAGTGTAGGCTGGGTTTGGGTTTTAGGGAGGGCCTGGGGAATTTGAGATTTCGGATTCAAACCTCAACCCCATGCACCAAACCGTAAATCCACACCCCTAAACCCCGACTCCTGATCCTCTGGGTTTGAGGGTGTAAGCATTTAGGGTTAAGGGTTTAGGGTTTGAGGTATCGGGCTTGTTACTATAGGATCCGAACGGAAGCCTGGCCAGAAAACTGGACAAACCACAAAACAAACCGCAATGGATACCATAGGCAATCTTCATTGAATCATTGCTGTTGAATTCGAGATTTGCATACGGCTTCGACTCAGGACTCAGGGCCAAAGATTCGCGATTTGGAGCACCAAACCCAACGAAAGCGTAACACCAACAAAAGCAAACCTCATAATCAAGCCCTAAACCCCAAAACATAACCCCCCCGTAAACCGTAAACCCTAAGCCCCCTAAGCCCTACACCGGTGGCACTGACAAAACCCCTGGGCTGGCTTGAAAGGTCGCTCCTGATCGGTGCTCCCTTGCTTCTTCTCCTCCAAAAGCAAAAGGAAAGCGTAGGGCGGGGGAGGGCTTAAGACTTCAATTGAGGGCTCTGGGCCTATGGGTCTAGGGGTCATCTCATGTCTCTGTCTCCCAGTCACTGTTATGTGTCAACTTTGCGTCTTATCTCTCTGTCTCTCTCGCCCACTCGCTCTCACTCGCTCGAAGATCAACAAAGCAAGATGCCTCCCTCTGGAGCTTCGAAGTTCTCTCAAGTCTCAGGAAGCTTGAGACCCTGAGCCCTCATTGCAAAGCTGCCTGCAACGGTTGGATCGCAGACTACGCCTAAGAGCTCATGTGAGGCTCCTAGAAATATTTGAGCGTGAGCCTGTGTCTTAGGGTTTAGGGTTTTGGGTTTAGTTTAGGGTTTAGGGATTAGGATTTGGGGGTTTCCGAAAATAGGGGACCGTATAGTACCCTAACTAGTCGGATCCTTATTAGAAGGACCCCAAAATAAGGTACCCCCTAATTCTCGGAAAGTTCCATTTAGGGTTTAGGGTTCAGGGTCCTCTGCCTCGCTCCAATCTGCTTCCATCCAGGGAGTAGCGTCCGGTCGATTTTTGCTTCTGCGCTTCGTCGTCGCTTTTGCATGCAGGAGGC